ACAAAATGCCACGGGCCCCCGACCTAAAAGGGCCCCGGCTCAAGAGACCGTGAGTCCAGAATTTTTTTTTACCTTGTACCTGAGTATTTTATTTTATTTGAAAATAAATGATAGGGCCCCATCAAAAGAATTTGCCACAGGCCCCAAATGGTATAGTTACGCCATTGTCTTTACCCGCAACTTCGACCTACTGACGGGGATATAAAGTACCTACTCTATGTCCTTCTTAATCTCGTATAGTGCGTGTATACTAAATTTCATAACGATTAGTCGAGTTGTTAAAGTAGTAAGAGGTAACAAATAAAATTCGTCATTATAATCGTGCGTTTAATTTTTTAAAGTGCTTTAGTATTTTATTTTGTGGTAATAAGCAAAATAAAACTCAGTTTCACAATACAATACCAGATTTATCCCGGGCCTTCGGCTGCGTGAATGAGTAACTATATAAACTATCCTATGTGCTAAATTAGGATATAACCCATACATCCATCCTTATAAACTTTCGCAATTTTGATATTAAAATAGGATTAGTAAGGGGTTGATTTTGGAGAGTTAACTACAATGCTAGAAGAGTAGATATCACTTAACCAAAAAAATTATATTACGGGTAACAATAATATCTATTAGTAAATCTTTTTTTTTTTGTAATTCTTATGGCAACCGATAGGTAGATACACTATGACAATACTACGGATCCTTGTATTATCACCCCATGGACATCGTGGTGTTTGTTCATGTTTGTAGACGACGCTTATTTTACATCAGGTGGTGCATAAACACATTTGTCACTCTGTGTTTAAAAAAAAATTTGTAACCATTTCTCATATCAATTTAAATCGCACGATTTAAACGTTCCATGATTGCTATCAATCAGTTTGCTCTCGTGGAGATGAACCGCTACGCGCGGCTTTTTGTTGGCACAACCTAAATCGATGTAGCAAGTTTTTGCTCTGATCAAAACACGCTGATCAATCAAACGGGAAAAGGTTTAACGTGTAAAAAAGTCGCATTAGACATAACGTTACGGTATATAATATTAAATAAAATAATTCTAATTATAATTTTTTAAAATTATTTTAAGGGCTTTTTCCTCAGGTATATCAGTCCTATCGTACCCTGAACTGATTTCTCAAATAAAACCTTATCTACTTTCCCTAGACGCGGAAAGAGAAGAAATAATGGGTATCAATAATTTATAGAGATGTTAAAAAAAATCTGGTTTAGGTTCAGCTAATATTTTTTTTTATACAACTTAGAATGACAAACAAGCTGACGGCCCACCTGACGGAAAGTGGTAACCGTCGCCTATAGACATGAGCAGTACCCCCCATGCGTTGCCATTCCTGAAGACTCAGATGTTATTCCTCTGTACCTTGTAAATTCATGCCATATTCCACCGTTCAAAGCGAAACACAGCCATGCAAACACAATTGCTCCACGGTAGAAACACGAATGGGACAGAGGTACCCAAGCAATCGACTTTTGTACAAAGTCTCCCTATATCAATCTATAACTATATTCTTTTTTCAAAAAAGAATTTTCCATATCGATTTACAACTGGCGGTTATGAAGTAACTAATATAAAGAAAATACAACCGAATTGAGAACTACCTTCTTTTTGTAGTCGACTGAAAACAATAAGTATAAAGAAGTAGGCATACAAATATTTCTCGCAGTACAAGTTCCGGTCTGAACGAGATAGTTACTGCTATTTTACTGCCAATTGAGCGAAGATATCAAGAGTATCTAGGCTATCTGGTTTCGTTATAGCCTAAGGACCTCTGACGTATCTAACAGATAAGTCCCTTATTCATAAAAACTTACAGCTCCAACAGAGATCTTATATCTTTTATTATTTTTCTACAAAATGAGAAGTTAAAGGAAAAGAACATAGGTAATTTAAGATTTGGTTTTACAAAAAAAATAACCGACTTCAATCGTGGTAAAACCAGTTTTGATTTGGAAACTAAATTACTGAACCGATTTGAATGAAATTTCTATGGGACCAATCTAAAAGTAAATCCTTTCAGATTAAAAAATATTTTTCCAAATCTGTTTAGAAATGACGAAATTCTGATGTATCAAAAATACAAACAAATTGAGAACCTCCCCCCTTCAGTTTGAAATGTTCTCAAACCGATTCCAAAAAATAGTTATAACAAATAGTTATAAGGCTGAGACTTACCATCAAGTGAGCCGTATGCTTGTTTGTCACCTCAGTAGTATAAAAAAAAATAAGTAAAATTTGATATTTTTATGAATAAGGGGGTATTTATGAATTACGTAGCCCGCGATACACTAAGCGAGCGAGGATAACTTCCAAAAACTGGGATTCCATTTTGGGATCCCCACAGTCCAGTCATGCGTTCCTCTGGCTGAGTTGTCACCGCTCATGAACGTCATTGCACATTATAGTGAAAACCGCACTCGGTTTTTCACGAGTACATGAAGTATAGGGATCAGGGATCGTGAGTGCTCATACTTTGTGGATAATTAGGTACATCATTATTCCATCTGAAAGACAAATACTGCTTGCTGGACAAGCAAATGTGACCTACACGACAGATAAAAAGATGAGGATTATTTTAGTTCTGTTATGATATCTAGCGTCACGGGTAGAACACCTACTATTTATCTCTCGTGGGTATTGGACTTCAGAACACCCACGAAGTCGGCGGCTCTGTCATAAATCTGTCGTATTCATAAATTCAATATGATTATTTTAATTTTTTTAAAATACTAACAATTTGATCTTTTACCGATTAAAAAATATGGTCTATTTATAACGAAACAAAACTGTCAACAATAAAGGTTATTTTCCTCTAACAATACAATTATTTTCAATTAAGGTAGAAAAGGAGGAAGAAATCAACAGTTTACAATCTTATTATAAAAATCAAATACTCAAGGGAAAACGAGAAAAATTATCTAAAAGTATCTAATTAAAATTACAAAGAATAAAATCTGCAGGCAACATTGAGTTCAAGAATAACAATATAATACAAGTAAATCAAATTCATTAAGGTATTGTAAACACTAAAAGGGGCGTAACATGGCCTCTGGCACACCGGCACCAAGAACACAAATGAAAACTTCACTCGACCATATCAGTTTCGAATCTCGGGTCAGGGGCGCCCTCTGGCGACGGCTATTAGCTCTCATTACTAGACTTCCAGCCGTTATTACCGACTGTCTCCTCAAAGCTCGAACTATCGATAGACCTTTGTGATATATTACTCATTGTCCGTGTAACGGTACCTTTACGGCAGGGCTTCGAGCTATTGGAACAGAGTGTAGGCGTAAGTTATAGAAAACTGCACGATTTCCCTTCGATGCAATATCTAACTTTATCGAATAACGAAGCCAGATACAATAATAATCTAATAAGATTAAAGTCAGAACTAAACAAGTCTGCAGATCTAATAAAGTTAAGTCTTTGGCTAAGCGTTAGGACAAAGAACCAATCGGAGAAAATACTTAGATCAGTGGTTGTTCTATCTATCATCCATCTTATATATCTTACTATTTATAAAAATAATAAATTGTAATCAGACGATGTCTGTACATAAGAGATACTCGTTTTTAAGAAAAAATATATTGAACGCGTTTTTATAGGAACAATAGATGTCCAAATAATAAGTTTTAGAAACTCTGTCTATATGTATATTTATTCTAGCATCACAAAAAATAATGAAAAATTTTACAAATTTGCTTCGTAAATGATAACATGTAATCATCATCTTGCTACCCTTATCCCAATTATTATTTGGGGTCGCCATAATATCCATATTACAAAAAGATTTGTCTTATAGTTTTACGACCGGCCGTCTGCCTAACGTCAACCCTCTTTGGAGATGACAACTACATGTAATATGGAGAAAAAAAGAACTTCAATAGTATAAATTTACTATTGTCTCGTAATCTAACTATCGTTATTCTGAAACGTATAAATCACACTCTGCGTTTTTCAAGGCACTTTCTTCACGGACAGCCAAGCTTTGGAATCAACTTCCAGCAGCAATATTTCCGAACCGATACGACATCATAACCTTCAAAAAAAGAGCATATTCCTTCAAAATTCCTTTAAAAGGCTGGCAGCACACCTGCAATTCCTTTGGTCTTGTAAGTGCTGATGGGCGGTTATGCTCGTTTGCCCCTTGTCTTATAAAGAAAAAGAGCAGACGCAGAATCACCTGTTATAGACAAGTGATTCAGCAAATATGTCTAGTGGAATTTATTTCGTAACAAGCAGAATTTTGTTCGCAAAGTAAGCCGTATCGGTTTCAAAAAAAAAAAATAATAATAAAAGAACCGATATAGAATTAGCAAAGATGAATAAACAGAAAAAAATACGAAATGAAAACTCCTCCTTTTGGAAGTCTTTCAAACACTTATCTTGTATAAGACAACAGGCAAGGTGTACATATTCAAAGATACGACAGATATACCCGCCCACTGCGATAATTGCAGTAAATTTATTCGCCAGCGTCCTAAATACCGATCTTTCATTAAGATCTACGAGTTTCAACACCTCTGTCTTCAACTTATTTGTAAGATCAACAGTGATTACATGCTCTTTGGAATCAACAAATTTATTTTTTAATTTTTTATCCCATGATGCAAATAAAAGAGTATTTGTAGTTATTCGGATGTGTAACGCAAGACATTGTGATTCTCAAACGAATGAACTTATTTAATTGCCATCTAAAACTTGATATATTTAGTCATTTATTTTTAGCAGTCATAATACACTGCCCTTTAAAATTTGTCTTATGAAACACTTTCTTAATTGGTTTTTAATTTAAGGAAATATCAGTAAATTTGACAAAACGCGACGTTGCAATTCTCAGCAAAGAATATTGTATCTAATTTGTGGATCGCGGTATTTTTTTTTTTGTGAAAATCAAGTCCTTTTTGAATTCTGTTTACAAAGTACAAGTTCGTAAAACACAGACAAACATCGTTAACACAACAATTTAACATAAAACTATAAAGCTTACCCGATGACTCCTAGACGCCTTAGGATCCAGATACGTTCTAAGCTTATTGAGGTAGTGTGTCGGGGAGTCTTTCGCTTGCACCATGTCTTGATCACAGATGATCTCCCACTTCTTCTCTAGGTCATAGTTGCGCAACAACTTCGCCTTATCCGGGGGAAGGTCCATCGAAGCCTGCAACAAAAATAGAATTTTAATACGACTATTCGTGTTAGGGTGAATCCCTCTGGTTTTAAGTTTCTAAGTCGCCTTCGTTATAAAAAAGACATATAATAACGCAAGACACTTGACGCTCATGTAGGAGCGAATTGACCGCCCTTGTCGCAAACAGCTCTGCAACATTTCCAATATGCCTATTATTCCTGTGAAAGTGTGTTAAAACTTGTTTCTATACAAAAGTTATAAAGCACAAACAATCTCACATATAATAGAATCTAGAATAAAATTTTGGATTTATCAGTATAAATCAAAAATTGTATTCAAGATTACATTTTTAATTAAATTCTAAAAGTATTCCATTATTAATGTAAAAATTGTTTTAGTAGCAAGCTTAGTGATTGACGTAATAGCGTTCCACATATTTATCGACATTTAAGTTCCGAGTTAGATTGTTTCGATATTAAAATATAATGACTTTTGTCAAATTTTGAACTTAGGCTCAGTCTACCCAAAGTTTATGATATTAATAAAAAAAAATTTAAATGATATAAAGTGTCCTATTAATAAACATTTTGTAGTCATTACAATTGCGCGGGCGATGGTATCCAATGTATATTCATATCGACATGTCAAAGCTATCTAAATCTAAATTGATGAATTGTGTCAAGTTGACAGCTGTCATATGACATCCATTCAACATTATTCCTTTATTTAGATACCTATGGTTATAAACTAATGCCTATCTATGACTTCGTTTACCGGACGGTAAAGTCGTACGTGCTCTTCAATGTATAAAGCAATTGAATTTATTTTTATATGATCACAATAAAAATTAAAATATTCAGAGGTTTGTGCTGGGAGCCAAATAGAACAAACAGGGTTATCATTCATTCAAAAATTATCTTAATATTTTCGAATCGCAGTCAAGCATTATTCAACTGAGCTGTCATCGCTCATTAATATTTTAATTATTAATAACTTGGTTGAACGTTCACAGATATTATTTAGCCTGCGTTGTCTCTTTCAACATATGACGGTTTATAGAATGAGTGTTCCAGTCCTCACCTCACAACGTTTGACTGGATAATAAAAAGCACACGTAAATATTTTAACGAATATGGGGGAAACAGTAGTGTGGATTGTAACATTTGGCGTTCTATTGTTTCTACCGACCTAACCTAACAGGGGACAGGCATGACATATAATGGGTAGCAACTGGAACTGCTTTATTCTCTATTATCTGAGTCAGAGGCCAATTCAATTTTTCCATTTCATTCACCCGTTCGGTCTAACGATAGTAGCTAAACAAGAAATCATTGGACCAGTTTCCAGTACGTTGCTTGAACAGTGAGCTTGGTAACGGTAAACAAATGCAACTCTACAGGCACAGGGCTGGCAGCCTATCGTCCCTTTACTAATTGAGATATTAAAGTGATCATTAACAGAAAAACATTAGAGTTACATTTAAAATGTATTTTTTGATGACACTCATCAGATTCTTAAAGTTTGAAGTAACATTTTAAACAAAAAGGCTTTATATGAAGTGACAACTTACTTAATGTACAAAACAACATACATAAATTAAATAAATATTAATTAATCTACAGTCAAGTTCTTTTCTTTGAATTTATCATAAAATTTTCAATGAAACGGAATTAATACATTTTCTTTTCCTAATAGGTATAAATAATACCTATAATAAATATGCTATTGATACTTTTAATTAAGAAGCTAAAACAGTAGAGACTAAATTAAAATAACCTTCGTTGAACGAGTTAAGTTTACAAGAAATGTTATGAACTCAGTTGAAGAGGCAAATTGTCTCTGAGAAATCAAATTGTTTTGCAGTACTTGTACATGTAGGTGGATGAGTAACGACTATGACGAACAGTGTACAGTGGAAGTCTAGAATAATACTGGTTTTGGAGGTCAAATCATTTAAATACTAAAACAGATACTGTACACTGACACAAGAAAAACCTTTAAAAATATGCGAAAAATTGGCACAGAAGAATTGTGTCGTAACTTACACAAAAAAAATAGACTTTTTTCTTTTTTAAGTTTCTTAAAAATAATTTAATTAAAGAAAGACTTAAAATTTAATTAAATTTAAAGGTTAAAGTGCCAAGGGAACTAATTCTAATGTTGATATAATCTTAAGCTACCGAATCGCTACACTTCACCACTCCCACTTATTTATTATTATGAACAGCACGATCTGTTACTACAATATTTCTTATCGAGGCTGCGAAATGGGGAGGATCTTCATCATTCTGAGGATGAGTGATAGTCTTCTCCGTTATCATTTATATTGGTACTTAAAGGTAGAATGAATAAGGTTCATATTTGGATAATTTGGATATGCAGGAAAGTGCTATGTAATGGAACAGCCCGCATTAGCATAGATCGGCATAGATGGCGACTCCAATTATGATGCTGAGGCGTGATCCCACGCACGACGTTGGTGGTACAATTGGTTAGACGATAGCGGAGCAAATGTTGCAACATCGGAATACATTGTATAATATTAGGTGTAGTTAGATGTTTTATGAGATTCTTTTCAGATGATGGACTACATTTCTATATAATGCAACGTAATTACTTAATAACCTCTGTTTTGTTTGTGTACAGTTTATTTATTACTATGATTTTAGGCTTCAAGATTCAAGATTAGAATTAGAAAGTACAATATAATAAAGTATAATATATAATTTTCAATTCATTGCGATTCACCGTGTATTATATCCATCATAATCTTTAGGAATGCGGAGCGACAGTCACCAATTTCCATAAGCTGAGCCGTCAGCTTGTTTGTCATTCTAAATTAAATTCAATAAAAAATTGGGAGAATTTATTTATAAATTTAAAAAGCGTTACCATTATCATACCTTTTCATACTCAGGATATGTAAGGATTATTCCTTAAACATCATAAGAATGAAAAGGTATATCAAGTAAACGAGAAAGAAAGCTACCTGCAAGAATGCTATACGAGGTTTGTCCGGAAAGTACGTATAAAAGTTTTTTAAAAATTTTATTTTACAATTATTCAGGTAAATCAATTTTATCCCCTTCAAAGTACTCCCCCTGTGACATAATGCACTTGTGCCAACGCCGTTTCCACTGTGAGAAGGCTCCTTGAAAGTCCTCTGGTTGTAGGTTTCTCAGCTGCCCCGTCGTAGCTTTTTTTATCTCATTTATGTCCCCCAAATGCCGCCCCCGAAGTACCAATTTGGTTTTTGGGAACAAGAAGAAGTCACACGGGGCCAAATCCGGCGAATAGGGGGGGTGTTCGGTCACCGTAATGGAATTTTTACTCAAAAACTCACGGACAACAAGAGAGGTGTGGGCAGGGGCATTGTCGTGGTGAAGAATCCAACGCCCCTCTCGCGCCAATTCTGGACGAACTCGTGCCACACGAGCTTTGAGGCGTCTGAGCACATCGACGTAGAATTTTCCATCAACTGTCTGGCCTGGAGGGACGAATTCTTGATGGACAATCCCCCGAACATCGAAAAAAACAATCAACATTGTCTTGACATTTGAGCGGGATTTTCTTGATTTTTTTGTTCGTGGTTCCCCGGATGTCTTCACTCTTTGCTTTGGGATTTTAATTCGACATCAAATTCGTAGAACCAAGACTCATCTCCAGTGATGACTCGGTTCAAAAAGTCACCATTCTCTTCGGCTTCCAACCAGTCCTCACAGCAAGCAACTCTTCGTGATTTTTGATCCGGGGACAAAAGCTTGGGAACGATCTTGGCGCAAATTTTTTTCATTTGAAGTTCGTTTCTTAGAATTTCGTGGACCACGGTTTTGCCCAAATTAAGCTCTTCAGCCACCTGTCTGACCGTTAAACGACGGTCCCCATTAACACAAGTTCGAATTCTTTCCACGTTTTCGTCGGAATGTGAAGTGGAAGGACGTCCTGAACGTGGGTCATCTTGAACGCTTTCTCGGCCCTCTCTGAATCTTTTTAGCCACTTGTGGACGGTTGGTTCCTTCACAGCATCATCCCCATAAACTGTTCTGAGATCGGCAAAAATTTCACGGCCATTCTTGCCGAGTTTCGAGAGAAACTTGATTACGACGCGCTGCTCTTCAACGGAAGCGGGCTCCATGCCGACGGGGTTTCGTTAAGAGGTAACTTCACAGATGGCGTGACAAGCCAGTTCGCACCGCACGGCGGTCAGACCAGAACTGAAGCATTGTTAGGGACATAAGGAAGGGGTCCTGCGCTTACCTGGCCTCCCCACTCCTCTTTCTCGCATTCCAGAACACTTTTATACGAACTTTCCGGACAGACCTCGTACATTGATGCTCCTTTCCACTTTGGGTTTGCTGGAAGAGAACTTTTCTAGAGTTAAGCTCTTTGTACATTTGATTACCTCTGTCATATTTTTATGTATAATTAGTGTGTACAATAAAGTATTAAATAAATACCGGCCGCCTGTGTAACTTTTTAATAATAAGCAATATCCTCTTTTTATGGGAAGAGACTCAATTAACAAAAACAAAGTTTAATGTGTTGTTAAGTTAAAATAAATTTTTCAAACGTTATAAGACAAGTAACTGCAACAAACGCTATCGCTTCATCCTGGCTGAGAACAAGATGCTACATTAAATGTTTCGCTCCGCTAGACGCGATCGATCTACGCTATTTTCATATTCTACATATTATACAATGATCTGATCATTGTAAGATTTATTATAATTTAGAGATCGTTAATTTAGTTTTGCGCCTACTTTAAGCAATCTCATCTATAACGTGTTTATCGGCCAATCAAAATCTTACACTGAAAGTCTTTATAGCGAAATAATGAGCAAAAAACACCTGACAGGTGAATGCCCGGTGCACACACCTACTTGTCTTAAATGCAAATTTTGAATAATAACTCCGCTCGTGTGATGTTATTGAACAGAACAACAAATAGACAAGAGAACAAATAGTTTCAACGTAAATGAAAATATTTCTCAATATTATTATAATTGTATTATAATATATATATATATTAT